TTCCTCATGCATAACTCCTCCCTGTCGCACCCCGAGGCCAGTCCAAAGAGCGGGCCGGGCGTTTCGCCTAAAACTGCCTCACCACTTATAACCCTGACGCTTGAAAATTGGCAACAACTTCACAAATGGAGGTCGGGTGGTTTCCAAAATGTGGCTCTCGCCTTAGCGCCGCGAACATTCGTTTAAAAGCATTGCAAGGGCTTTACGGATTGAGGGTGGGTCGCTTTCAAAATGTGGCTCTCGCCTCAGCGCCGCGCACATTCGTCGTCAAACTCGCAAGAACTTCACGAATTGAGGGCGGCTCATTTTCAAAATGTAGCCCTCTTGGCGCCGCACAAACTCGTCTGAACAATTTGCGAAAGGTTCACGGGTTCCCACTGTCAATGTGCCAGAATCTGCGTTTTGGAAGGACTCAGGACTGTGAGGGCGCGATATTCACGTTGATTCGCAGTGCTGACGTCCCAATAATGCCATTCTGAGTTGTCGAAAACGAACAATCCCATTGGTTCGTGGCGTTGGGGTCCCGAGAGTGGTGTTTTGGCACGCTTCTTGGTCTTCAAAGAGTTCTCCAAATGAGGTGATTCCATCAGTGGGAATGAAGCCTTGTAGGGGCCTATAACGAGGGAGCTTGGAGGAAGGCTGTCTTCCGACATCGTTGATGACTCTTGGGTTTGCACTGGTCCTCCTCCTCCTCGTTCGCCTCCTCCTGATCCTCATCATCCTGCTCCTGCTCCTGCCGCGCCTCCTGCGCCGCTTCTTCCTCGTCCTCCATCATGACCATCATCATCATCATCACCACCATCAGCAGCAGCATCAGCATCATCATCATCATCAGCATCAGCATCATCATCATCATCACCATCACCATCACCATCACCATCACCATCACCATCATCATCAGCATCATCAGCAGCATCATCATCATCATCTTCATCATCATAATGATCATGATCAGCAGCAGCATCATATTCACCACCACCACCCCCACCACCACCATCGTAATCAGCAGCATCAGCATAAGTATCATCATCATAATCCTCTTGGCCATCATCATCATCATCATCAGTATCATCGTCATTGTCATCATCACCATCAGCACCATCATCACCACCATCATCAGCATCATCATCATCATCGTCATCATCATCATCGGCAACATCAGCATCATCATAATCATAATCACCAACGCCCCACCACCACCACCACCATCATCATCATCATCAACAGCATCATCATCAGCATCATCATCGTCATCAACATCCGCAGCAGCATCGTCATCATCATCAACAGCAGCATCATCACCACCACCACCACCAGAACCATCATCTTCATCATCATCAGCATCATCATCATCAGCATCATCATCATATTGTGACAAGTAGTACTATTCTTATAAGTATTATTGATATTCGTATTATCAACATTAGCATTACTAGTACGACTACTATTATTATTACTATCAGCGATAATAGTAACATCACTAGCGATTATAGTAATAATTGCGTATTCGTCGTATTGTTATCATTATTGATATTACGTTTCATCTTATGATGACTCTTCTTCATACACATTCCCGACCTAGGTTCTGCCTAGAAGGGTTCTTACTCTCTGGGCTTAAAGGGGCCGGGCAGTGGAAAGCGCCCCGGGCGGTTCCCCCAGTATCCGCCCCGCGGTTCCCCCAGTTGCGCCCCCTTAGTTTTAGCTTAGCTTTAGCTTAGCTTTAGCTTAGCTCTAGCTTAGCTCTAGCTTAGCTTTAGTTTAGCTTTGTCTGAGCTTTACCTTAACTTTAGCTTAGCTTCAGCTTACCTTTAGCTTAGCTTCAGCTTAGCTTTAACTTAGATTTAGCTTAGCTGCAGCTTAGCTTTAGCTTAGCTGTAGCTTAGCTTTAGCTTAGGTTTAGCTTAGCTTTAGCTTAGCTTTACCTTAGCTTTAGCTGAGCGCTAGCTTTAGCTTTAGCTTCAGCTTAGCTTTAGTTTAGCTTTACTGTTACTACTACTACTACTACTACTACTACTACTACTACTACTACTACTACTACTACTACTACTACTACTACTACTACTACTACTACTACTACTACTACTACTACGAATGCTGCTTTCCTAGGGGCTCCAACTCCTAGGTAAGGTCGCACTGGGATAAAATTATAATTCCTCCTCCTGCTCCTCCTCCTCATCCTCATCATCACCCTCCTCCTCCTCCTCCTCCTCCTCCTCCACCTCCTCCTCCTCCTCCTCCTCCTCCTCCTCCTCCTCCTCCTCCTCCTCCTCCTCCCCCTCTTCCAGCCCCTCGTCCTCGTCCGTACCAATATCCCCTCCTCCTCCTCCTCCTCCTCCCCCCCTTCTCCTCCTCTTCCCCCTCATCCCCCTCCTCCTGAATCCGCGACCCAGGCACTAGTCCCACTTTATTTAGGACCAGCGACCACCTGGGTTCAGGCGTGTCGCCCGGCAGTCCATCCCATGCACAATACCGGGGCGTGCCCATCAAAGGATTTTTCTCGACACCCGGGTGGAGGGCGATATTCCACCCAGGTGCCGGCGACAGGGCACACCACCAAAGAGGAAACGGGGAGGGGAGGGGCAAACATTTACACTGAAAGGGACAGAGGGGGGGAGGAGGGAGCAGGAGGGAACCGGAAGGCGGAGGCGGCGAGCGCGCGGCCGGGGAGTCTGAGCCACCCCACTCCCCCGTTAGGCGCGCGCGCGCACGCCGGAGGCAAGGAGCGGGAAGGGAGAGGGAAGGGGAGGGGGAGGAGGGGGAGGAGGAGGAAGAGGCTGAACACGAGCTAGAGCAGCGCGGCGACGCAGCGGCACAGCGGCGCAGCAGAGCAACGGCGGAGGCAGGCCAACGCGACCGAAGGTGACAGCCAAGCCGACTACGGAAACAGGGCTCGGAGTGAGACGTATCACTCAGGGGTTTTTTCCGGCCGCACGAAGTCTCACGGCCGGAAAAAAGAGGAGGGCGAGGGAGAGGGGGCAGATCAGTGGCCAGCCAGGGCGAGCACGCGCAGGGCGTTCGCCCGCTGCACGTGGACACCCAGCGACTGCCAGAGGTCACCGATGGCCTCGGTGCGCAGGGCAGGCTCCGTCGGCGCCAGGCGGCCCGCCAGGCCGCGGGCCGCGGCGCCGGGCCGCCCCTCGGCTTCCAAGGCGAACGGCACCAGGCCTACGGCCTGGGGGTACCGTGCGCGCTTGCGCCGCTCAGCCGCGGCCGCCGCGGCCCCGTCCACCTGGGCGGCCCGCGCCAGCGCCTCCTCATCGGCCGCGGAGGCGTGCGTCACGACCACGTCAATGAGGACGCGGTCCCCAGTGGCGTCGTGAGTCACGATGTCCATCCGGCCTTTGGTGTGCTCCGTGATTCCCAGCTCGGGGAAACTCTGCTCCGTCCGCACAGCAGCAGGCGCGTGCTTCGTGAGCCAGTTGGCCAGGCAGTCGCGTGCAGCATTGTGTCGTCTCACGGCGTCGCCATTGTCCGTAAGGCTCAGGCCAACCGCGTAGGGGCCCAGCATGTGGATCATCCCCAGCCGGAGGAGCACGGCAGCATTGAAGGGCGCGTTGGCGAGCACGTCGCCCTTCGAACGCGGCGGCAGAAGCCAGGCCCCGGCGCCCGCCCCGCTGCATTAGCGCAGCCAGGCTTGGCGGTCCGCCGGGAGCTCCCGTCGCAGCGTTTCAGCTTGTGCTCGCTGGGTATCCGCAGTGAGTTCCTTCTGCAGACCCACCCGCGTCCCTCCCAGCAGACCCTCCGATGCAGGGACGCCTTCAGCCCCCGCTGCTTACAGGCGGGTCCGGGCCGCAACTGCGTCCGCTGCTAGCCGCGGGAAGTGCTGGCGGAGCGCGTCAGGCGTGTGCACACCCCTGCCGGCGGCCATTGGGTGCAGGGTGGCACCCAGGCTGCCGAGGAAAGCCGCTGGTGGAAGCGTGGCCAGGTCTGGTAGGCCGAGTCCCCCTAGGCGGAGAGGGAGCGTCGCCTGCCGCCAGGCCGCGGCGTCGAGGCCCTGCCCCAGGGTCTCCTCCTTTGCCTGCTGCTGCTACTGCTGCCGTCACTCCTAATGGCTCTATGCAGCTGGCAAGAAGACAGGATCAATCAGTATTTAATCGAGAGATCGTGTAGTCGGATCGGAACGTGCATCGGATCGGGCCGCATCCACACGGGGACGGAATCCAATCGGACAGAGACTTCCGGAAGTGACATCGAATCGGATCGATGGGACCCAGGGAGGGCTTGTTGAAATTCGCGCCACCTCGAAACAGAAGCGCCCATCCCGCGAGGGTTTCTCAAGACAACGGTGAGGGCGAACTCAGAGCCCAGGAGACAGGGAGGAGGAGGAGGGCAAGAGAGAGAACCGGGACGAGGAAGAGGCCGGACAGAGGGGCCCCCCGACGCCTCGAAGGGTTCGCGAACGCCCGAGGGCAAACCCAGCAGCGAATGCTCAAACCAGGGGAGCCTCAACGACGACGACGACGACGACGACGACGACGAACGACGGCGACGACGACGACGAACGACGACGACGACGACGACGAACGACGACGACGACGACGACGACGAACGACGGCGACGACGACGACGACGGCGGCGGCGGCGGCAACGGCAGCGGACGGCGGCGACGGCGACGGCGACGGCGACGGCGACGGCGACGGCGACGGCGACGGCGACGGCGACAGCGACAGCGACGGCGA